GTCCTCACCTCCCTCTACTCTGCTGTTTAGACTTTCCAATGTGTTCTTTATTTCTGATATGCCATTCTTCATTTCTTCTTGCTGGTTTTTAGTTTCCAACTGGTTGATTTTCAACATTTCTATGTCTTTACTCATGGTGCTCATGTCCTTACACATGCTGTTGAGCCTTCTCAAGATCATGGCTCTGAATTCTAGTTCTGTTAACTTGCTTAACTGCATCTCATTCATCTCATCTTCAGTAGAGGTCTCTTGTTCTTTCATTAGGGTTTTGTTTTTGTGTTTCACCATTTTGGCTATCACTGTGGGCTTTGGAGCCTGCCAAATGTTCCCTGTCTGTGTTGGTGTTCTGCTGTTTGTGGCTTTCTTTCCTGGGTTCGAATGAGCCAGAAAGGACGCATGTTAAACACCACTGTCAAGTCTTACTTTCCTGGTTATAGTTGCTAGCCCAAGGATGGTACAGTTATCCTTTAGCTTTTTGCCTGGAGGCTATCAGTTGTGGTTACCTGAAGAGCTTTGTTTCCTCAGTTGAGTAAAAACTCCCTCAGGTGTTCAGCATATTGGTATTTCCCAAGGGTGGGGCAGATGCTGCTTGTTAATGGGCCTCAATTTGCATTTCAGTGGCCACTGGATGGGGTAGAAACTCTGACGGAGGGGCCACCACCTCTCCCCAGAGCCCTGGGAAGGAGTAAGATGACCACCATGCTGTGTGGCCACAAATCTGCAAAAGCTCTGATCGCCCTCCAAATCCTGAGTGTCCCCACATAGTTCCAGTCCAGTCTTCCCTCCCTCTCCTGGAGCCCAAGGAGAGTGGCTGTGGCTATTTTAACCTCTATCCCATTGCTGCGCTGTGGAGCTGCTTGGGAGTTTAACCCAAGGGCACTGCTCACAGCTAAGGCCACTGCTCACAACTAAGGCCACTGCTGTTTGTGGGCTCCCAGCCCCTGTCTCGCGTCTCTGCAAGCCTACCATGATTGAGTCAATGTCCCTGGTTTTGGTCCTCCAAGCTCCTTTTCTGTTTCTGTTTCCTGATTATTTGTCTTTATTTTCATTGTAATTCCAGTTCGGTCCTGGGAGATGGTCTGTGTAGCTTCCATTCACTCTGCCGCCATTTTGGAATCTCCTATTTATTTATTTTTAATTAATTTATTTATTTTTGTTACAGATGTTTCTCCTTTTTCCCCCACTGATTCCTCCTCCCCCTCCCTCCCCAGCCTGTTTCCAGCTTTGGTGTCCATGACCTTTGTTAATGCATACATGCATATAAGTTTTGTGGTTTATCTCTTCCCCTGGCCAGTTTAGCTCAGTGGTTGGAGCGTCGGCCTGTGGACCAGAGAGTCCCAGGAACAGGTTCAGTTCCTGTTAGGGGGACATACCAAAATAAATAAATAAATAAAGATAGCCTCTTCAATACATGGTGTAGGGAAAATTGGACAGCTACATGCAAAAATATGGAACTAGACCACCAACTTACACCATACACAAAAATAAACTTAAAATAGATAAAAGACTTAAATGTGACTCATGAATTCATAAAAATCCTAGAAGAAAATGTAGAAAACAAAATTTTAGACATCACACACAGCAGAATTTTCACTGATACATCACCTAAGGCAACAGAAACAAAGGGAAAAACGAACACATGAGACTACATCAAATTAAAACGCTTCTTTACATCAAAAGAAACAACCATTAAAATGGAAAGGGAACCTATTATATGGGAGAGCATAAATGCCAATAATACATCAGATAAGGGGTTAATTTCCAAAATATATGGAGTACTCATATAGCTCAACAAAAGGAAGAGAAAGAACTCAATTAAGAAATGTGCAGAGGACCTATATAGACACCTCTCCAAACAGAACAAATGGTCAAGAACCATATGAAGAAATGCTCAAAAATCACTTATCATCAGAGATGCAATGAAAACGTCTATGAGGTGTCACCTCACACCTGCCAGAATGGCCGCCATCAACAAATCATCAAGCAACAAGTGCTGGCAAGGGTGTAGAGAAAAGGGGACTCTAGTACACTGTTGGTGGGAATTTAAACTGGTGCAACCATTATGGAAAATACTATGGTGCATCCTCAAAAGAATTAAAAATTGAACTGCCATTTGACCCAGTGATCCCTCTTCTAGGAATATATCCTAAGAAGCATAAAACATCAATCAGAAAGAATGTATGTACCCTGATCTTCATCGCAGCACTATTTACAATTGCTAAGATCCAGACGCAGCCCTAGTGTCCATCAACAGATGAATGGATAAAAAAGCTGTGATACATATACACAATGGAACATCATGCAACTGTGAGAAAGAAAGATCGTGTATCCTTTGAGATGACATGGAAGGACCTGGAGAGTATGATGCTAAGTGAAATAAGCCAATCAGAGAAAGACAAATACCACATAATCTCACTTATTTGTGGAATATAATGAACAGAAGAAGCTAATGAACTGAACAGATCCAGAGATGGAGTATGGTTCAGACTGACATACCTCAGAGGAAAGGGGCAGTGGGGAGGGATGAGATAAACCAAATAATTTATATTCCTGTATGCGTAACCAGTAGTCACAAACTACAATGCTTGGTGGGGGTGGCAGGATAGAGAGGTGAGTGTCTGCAGGGAAAAAAAAGAAACATCTGTAACAATAATAAATTAATAATAAAAAAAGAATTATGAATCAGGAAATATGGGTCAGTAGCTCCTTTGCAAAAGCCCATCCTGATCTAATGTGCTACATATTATGAGTCTTTAATATTATAATTTTTATTAATTTTAAGTTACTATATTTGGTACATTTGGAAGTTTCTGGGCCCTACACCACCCTCAATGAAATATAACTTCCCATCCACCCTGCTTCTCTATTCTTCTATTTTTCTTCAAAATGTCATTTCTTTCTATTTCCACGGATTTTTTTAGGTGGAGAGAAAATACAAATAGGCTTTGGAAAAGTACGAATAAAAATGGAAACAGTATATTCCACAGTACTCCTACTCTATGCTCACTGCTGTCAAATGCATCATTAATAATATCACTTTTAAGATTGAAATTTGGATTATTTAGCTAGCTCAGATATTTTTTGAACCAAAAGGCAAAAGAGGTCTAAAAGACGCATTAGTCAAACTATTGAAAGAAAGTTGCACAGATAATCTAAGACATTGGAAAATCAAAACACGTTTATATTTTCTTTAGAACATACATGATTTGTTCTTCCTGCAACATTTGGCTTAGACTAATATTAAAATGAATTTGTTTTCCTAGAGCACATATTGGCTAGGCAGCCAAAGGACATGCTCTGTGCTGCTTGGCAGGAGGAATCAGGCTTTGATTAAAATTTAGCCACTAAGCAGATAATCTGAATATAAATAAAGACTTTCTTATTCCAACCACCAGACTTATGGTGAGCCCTGGGTTAAAATATTCCATTTGTAACAAGACCTACTTGCTTCGGTAAATCTTGTATTCACTCAAAAACACAGAACATGTTAGTGGTGAACACATAATGCAATATACAGATGATGTGTTATAGAATTGTACACTAGAAACTTATATAATTTTATTAAACAATGTCACCCCAATAAATTTAATTAAAAAAAAACATAGAGCAGAGAAATCTGTCATCTAACACTGTTGATAACTTAATAGAAATAATTTAATGGGAAAGTTACCAAGAAAAATAAATAAATCTGAACATTTCATTTCATGTCTTTTCAAGAATTTATTTTCCATTATTAAATATAAACATATAAATTATTGTTCATTAACAGAAAACTAGAATACTTATATTTAGTCACCAGTGCAATTCAGATTCAGAACTTAGTAAACCTTTCACTAGATATTTTCACTAATCTAAAATCTATTTTCTATTCTAATTAATCCGGCACTACTACACATCATCTGGAAGCACAGACTACAAGTCATAAATTACTGGTAGTGTATCAGTGAATTACTGGCAGTATATCTCCATAAAGCAAGATTTATGTGATATTTTAATCCATAGATCAGTAAACAAAAGTAAGTTTCACAGTGTCTACTAGTAAACCTCTACCAGGGTTTCTAAAAGCAACAGAGTATGATCCAATTTGAGTTTCTCTCTTCTTTCTTTCCTACCTAGGCTCTCTGATGGAGTTGTTAATGAGCCTTAGACTATTGGCCAAAAGCCAGACAATGGCAGGAAAGCAAAGGACCTACACAATTCAAATTGAACATAGGAGTACATGAAAGAAAAGTGAACAAATTTATTCCAGCCACTGAATATACATGCTGAGGCAATATCTGAAACATACAACCAAAAATACTTATGACTATTAAAGTAGTGCCCTCTGTCAGAAAAAAACTAAGGGTGAAATTGTAAGAGAATCATTAAAACACTCAAACAACAAAATTAGAACGTCCAGTGTGACTCGTACTCTTACCCCATCTGGTTGAGCCACTTTACCTTGTCCAGTCAATAAACTAGGTTCTGTCAGATTAATGGCAGACAGGTAAGTGTCCTACAAATCAGCCACAGCCCTAACAAGCCCAGCAGATGTTGGTACAAGGTAAGACTACAGGGCATCTCCACCCTCTGGTGTGAGTTAAACTGTTCCATAGGGCATTTTCTCTGGTCTCTATTTCACCTTAGGAAGGCCCAAGATTATCTTCCTGTATAACCTCTAAGTTTTCAAGATCACACATTTAAATATGATCATTTCCACAGTCACCTTGGGAATAGGAGTTTAAAAGTATCTGAACAGATATCTAAGCTGTTCACATAAACATCTTCAAAGTATATGAATACATTTCTATTATTAAATAAATCATGATTAAACCTTATCCTTGGTATGCCACATATTCACTATGAATTTTCATGCCACGACACATATAATATTAAAAATAATATTAAAATCACAAAGATTAATTTAATAAAAATGTTAAAATAAAATCATAAAAGTTAAATTAGAAGTCACATTAACACTGATGCACAGGGCAAGAAACTTCATGGAAGACTTTTTCCTTTTCTGTAGGAGAAATAGACTACCACTTAATCTTCACTACCTGACTAGCAGTCCTGAAAATTCCTTTATCTTTGTGCCATAGATAGTCTTACTCCCAAAAGAATGAGGAGCAGAACATGAGTTTCCCATATGCAAAAAGAATTAAAGCACCATGCAAAGGTGCACTTCTACGATGTGATCAAACTCTTGATTTTCATGAGGGCTAAATGCAGAATGACAATTCCTGCCCATGATGACAATGTTCTCCAGATACATTTAGCAGAGATTTCAGGATTTTCAGTTCGTAAAAAATATGACATAAAGAACAGTCTTACTATTTCTTTGGGTAGCAGTTGGCACATTGGACACCAATTCTAAATGAGTCCATACTCAAACTTCACATTTAATTTAGACTTCAAAGATGTCATATTTTAAAGGTTATTATCTAGTATATAAACTTCAAAGTGTTAAAACTCTTTTTTTGTTGTTGTTGTTTTTTGCATGGTAGGGCAAGGAATGAACTACAACAGTTTAAATGATCATTTACTAATGATCTGATATTTTTTCTACTCCCTAAAATGTATAAAAATTATTTCCTTAGTTTCATTAATAAGTAGATTCCTATCTTTGGCAATAAAAACCAGAACACAGCTACTTCCTGTCTTTCTTCCATTTTTAGGAATATAAATGTCTGATCAATGAAAATGCATTAAAGAGACAGAAAAACGTTTTTGCAAAGGCAGAATCCAAATGTTACAGATCAGGAATAATTCTTATTTAAAATCTCTTAGTTGTAGACACAAATGTCAGCAATATTATATACAAGGTGTCCCAAAAATCTTGGTGAAATCTTAAGTTTTTTTTAAATTTATTTTTTATTAATTAATTTTTGTTACAGATGCTTCTCTCTTTTTCCACCCTGATTTCCCCCTCCCCTCCCTCTCTTCCCTGTCCCCAGCTTTGTTGTCCATGTCCATTGTTCATGCATACATGCATATAAGTTCTGTGGTTTATCTCTCCCCCACCACCCCCTCTTCTGGGGATTGTCAGTCTGTACCCCACTTCCACGTCTCTGTGACTAACCCATTCCTCAGACTGCTATGTTCATCATATTCCACAAATAAGTGAATCATATGATACTTGTCTTTCTCTGCTTGGCTTGTTTCACTTAGGATGATACTTTCCAGGTCCCTCCATGTAGTCTCAAAGGATAAGAGATCTTTCTTTTTTACAGCTGCATAGTACTCCATTGTGTATATGTACCACAGCTTTTTTATCCATTTGTCTACTGATGGACACTTGGGCTGTTTAACATAGTACTGGAAGTCTTAGCCACTGAAATCTTAACTTTTAATATCCTTGGAAGTACAGATGCTATAACTTACTAAAATTGTCATTTAAAATTATAATTGCTTAAATATATTTGAAACATAGTTTTGTGAATTTTTAGTAATAAATTTCTTTTTAACATATCATTTGAGCCACATGTTGGCTTGTTAGTGCTCTATGAGTGACAGTGAATAAAACAAATCTCTCCAGTGTGAGGGAACACTCTGTGTTTATGGATCTAAAGTGCCCTTCAGCATCAATGTCAATGTTCCCAGAGCTCTCAAAGCCAGTCACAGGTCCTGGAAGAATGGAAGTAATGGCAACAGAAATAGAAACCTCACAACAGCCACCATCATCTGGAGCTTAGGTTGTGCTGTTTGGAGGAATAAATGGCTGAACAAAGGAAGAGGGCCCTTGGTAAATACCACACCTTCTTTTTCATTTCTTATTTATTTGAATGAACTTGTTTTATGGCATCCTGCACAGTCAGTCTAAGACAATATTTTTATAAATCACCTCACTCTGTCTGTATGTTTTTAACTTGGCAAACCTTTCATATATTTTACCTAATTTGGTTACTTGGTTAATAACTGAGTAAAAGTGGTATGTACTTTCCACTAAGTATAGAGTTTCATCCACTAGTCATCTTGACAAGCTTTAGAGGTTTTCTCTTTGCGATCATCTACATACCTGGAAAGGTACTTGGGACCAAAATTAGCACACTGAGCTACCAAGGACAGAAAGAGATGAGAGAGAAGAAAAACTGTGGGGCTTAAGATAGCTAGAACAATATAAAAGGCATCTGTTCCAATGAGTCTAATAAACTAGAAAAATCTGACTTCCTGGTCAACTGGACGTACAGGTTATCTTCCATAAAAGATGGAATAAATGATCTGAAAAGAAGGGCTTGTTGATCCTTATATTTTATAAGTGGCTCACACAATTCTTCCATTTTAAAGTGAATGCCCTTGTGGGCTTTTTTAAAAAGACCCTCAGCCTTAATACTTGGGGAACAGAAAGTTCTGAAAGGCAATACACAATCATGTCTAGAACATGGGTGCTCGGTGAGTTGATTAGAATGTATTTAAAACTTTCAAATTGTTATGTGGCTACTGCTGCTATTCCTTCCCCTTCCTTTCAATACATCCATCAGTATCCAAGTGCTCAACTTCAGATACAGTAAAATAGGTTAACTCTAGCACAAAAATATTGAAGGGCCTTATGTTAGACACCTAAGCTAGAAAATATGTGAATAGGCTATAAGAATCAGGAAGTGTTACAATAAAAATGAAACCTTAGCCCTAGCCAGGTGGCTCAGTTGGTTAGAGAGTCATCCTGGATAACAAAAGGTTTTGGGTTCGATTACTGGTCAGGGTACATACCTAGTTTGCAGGTTCAATCTCCAGTCTGGATGCATACAGAAGGCAAAAAATTGATGTTTCTCTCTCACATCATTACTGTTTCTCTCTCTCTTTCCCTTCTCCTCTCTCTAAAATCAATTAAAAAAAAAAACATATCCTCAGTGAGATTAAAAAAAAATGAAACCCTCATTAGCACTGTGATGAAATACCCCAAAATTTATTTATTTATTTATTTATTTACTTTTTAGTCCTCACCCGAGGATATTTTTCCATTTATCTTCAGAAAGAGTGAAAGGAAGGGAGAAAAAGAGAAACATCGATGTGAGAGAGACACAACGTGTGGTCATCTCCTGCACAACCCTGACTAGGGTCGGGGATGAACTGCAACTGAGGCACATGCCCTTGACCGGAACTCATTGGTCCACAGGCCAACACTCTAACCATTGAGCCAAACCAGCCAGGGCCATACCTGAAAATTTTTAAAAATATTTTATAACAACAGATAATGCTATTTAGAAAATGCCATGCTGAAGATAATACTGGTATTCTCTACTAAGTCAAAAAAATATAACACAAAATGCAGGTATACAATCAGTGCACAGTTACCCAGAGCAACCCAGAAACTCCCACACTATCCAGCTGTTCACACTCTCCCACACCATTATCATCTACTGAGAGAGGCTGACCTAACAGGAGCTAGGAATGAAGGTGGAGATGCCAAAAAAAACACACTTCCATAAAAGTACTCATGACTTTCAAATGATCTGCTTTTCCACATCATCTACAACTCCAGGAGATTTCCCCTCTATGGAGCATGGATGAAAACCTGAATATATTTTAAATGATTCCTATATACTTTTGATGTGGCTCCTTTAAAATATTCTTTTAATTTTATTTCCTGTTTTACCATGAACTGAGATCAGACAATTGTGCAGTCTCCAGAGACAGCATATTGGTAGTGCCTTGAAATAGCCTCTTGGTCTGGTTTTCGGTCTCCATTTCACCTAAAACAAAAAGAGATACTACAGTAAAACAGTTTTCAGGCTTAGTGCTAAAATGGGATGATCTTTGTTTAACCAAAGCTCAGCATACTTTTTGAAGCTGTTGCTTGAAAGATACATTTCTATGTGTTTAACATGAAATATACTTCCACATAACCTCAGCCAAAAAGTCAGCAGCCCTAAAGCAAACCTTCTCATTTTTTATATGTATCATGATAGTGATATAGTCATGTTCTTTAATAGAAGAGTAGAACACAAATTGCATCAGGCAAAATTAATCATGACTAACCACTGTAGAAATAAAGTATTTCCAAATAGCTGAAATTCACAGCAAATAATAATTATATTAGATGATTAGTAAAGACTTGAATTTATGTTTTAATTGCAGAACATTTCCTGAGTTGAAGTCAAATGAGTTGAAAAGTATTCAGTTTCGCCCTAGACAGTGTGGCTCAGTTAGAGCATGGTCCCATACACTGAAAGGTGGTGGGTTTGATTCTCGGTCGGAGCACATGCCTGGGCTGTGGGTTTGATCCCTATTGGGGCATGTAAGGGAGGCGGCCAATCAATGTTTCTCTTTCACATCAATGTTTCTCTCTCTCTCTCTCTCCATTCCTCTCTCTGAAATATCAATTAAAAAAGTATTCAGTCTTATAAAGACTGTATAAATCAAAGGTTGCTTTAGACTACTTAGTGAAAATAAAGGTTAAAATACAGTCATAGGCTGCATAATGACATTTTGTCCAATGACAGACCGCGTATAAGATGGTAGTTCCATAATATAAAGAAGCTGAAAAATTTCTGTCACCTAGTGAGGTCACAGCCATCATAAGGTCCTAGTGAAAAGCATTCCTCATGTGTTTGTGGTGATGCTGGTGTAAACAAACCTACTGCACTGCCAGTCATATAAAAATATAGCATTTACAACAATGTATAGTACATAATACTTAATAATCATAATAAACGACTATGTTACTGGTTTATTTACTATATGATACCTTTTATCATTATTTTTAGAGTCTATTCTTTGTATTTATTTTTTAAAAAGTCGGCTGGTGTGTTCTCCCTCCCCAAAACATGCTTGTGCCTTTCCCTTTCCTCTCTTTTTCCCCCTCAGGCATGCATTTCCTAAACTCTAAGGAACCCCATGAGACTTATAACCAGGGGAGCAACAGGCAGTGGCAGGCTGTCCCAGGCTAACCCCATAACCTGTCTCCAAGAACCCCTTTTCTCTAACTTTCTGGAGAGCTAAATCAGCCCTTCCTAGGCACTCCTGTTGCTTTTTCTATCCTAAGCACATCCTTGTGTCAGTGTTTCAGCTTTAATAAATGTAATTAAAAATGTTTTTTCAAAAAAGCCTTGGCCAGTTTTGCTCAGTGGTTAGAGCATTGGCCTGTGGACCAAAGAGTCATGAGTTCGATTCTAGTCAAGGGCAAGTACCTTAATTGCGGTTTGATCCCTGGCCCTGGACAGGGTCGCGCAGGAGGCAGCCAATTGATGTGTTTCTTTCACATCAGTGTTTCTCTCTCTCCCTCCCTCCCACTCTATCTGAAAATCAATGGAAAAACATCCTCTGGTGAGGATTTAAAAAAAAAAAAAAAGTTTGCTGAAAAACAGTATGTCGTGTTGCACCAGTAGCAACTTTGTACATCTCATGTTTACCATGTGTCTTGATTGCATTATTTTCTCTTGTGTTAGATCTGATCTCATACTATTTTGCAGAGTAACATGTAGTACAGACTTGTATACTAGGAGCAATATGTTATACCATAGGGCCTACATGTGTAGTAGGCTATACCATCTAGGTTTGTGTAAGTGCACTCTATAATGTTCATACAATGATGAAATCACCTGACGAATTCTCAGAACATACTCCCATTATTAAGGGATGCCTGACTGTATAAGTTTGAAAGCACATCTGTAAATGAAAGCAATTATTAACGAATTCACAAAATAGGTATTATGCTGGCTACCTCAATCTATAGATTTTCTCAGAACTGGTAATAGAAAAACTTTGCATTAAAGGAGCAGTGCTTAACATTTTGCCACCAAGAGTGCAAACACTAACAACCCTAAGTTAGACAAAAAAAAGACCTTTTCCAAATAAACTATAATTTAAAACATGCACATACCTTGGTTTTGAAGCTCTTTATCTGAGCCTTAAAATAGAATATTAAAGAAATTTTAAATCATGAACCTATCTACACTCCAGTAGAAAATTAATAACTGTGAACTTAAACCTGTGCAAGATTCTTATGATAGAAAAAGATCAAGTGAAAACAAATTCAACATTCAAATTTTTTCCTTTTATCAATTAATTCATAGTATCTTTCCTCTGGAGCTATTCTGAATATTACTAAAATTGAAGAAAGGTTGTATTTTTATATGCTCTTTTCATACTTTATTTTTTTATTTTCATTTATTCATTTATTTATTTAATTTAATTAATTTATTTTTGTTACAGATGTTTCTCCTTTTCCCCCCCGACTGATTCCCCCTCCCCCTCCCTCCCTGCCCTGTCCCCAGCTTTGTTGTCCATGTCCATTGTTCATGCATACATGCATATAAGTTCTGTGATTTATTTCTTCCCTCCACCCCGTCTTCTGGGGATTATCAGTCTGTACCCCACTTCCATGTCTCTGGGCTCTTTCCATACTTTAATATGCAATTTTTAAAAGTTGCCACCTGGCTTGAGACGCCTTATTAGCAAAACACTTCAGCCCTTTTTTAGCAAAGGATTCCTCCATCTGCTGGTATATTTTGGAATAGCTTTGAAATTAAACAACTAATTCTATTGATTTCCTGCAACAAATTTAAAATTAATAATAATAACAACAATAATAATAGCTTTACTTTCCAAGTGTTATTTTCACATAATAGCTCCTGAGAAGGTTCTTAGGGTTGTAAATAATTCCTTAAAGAATTAAGGGGAAAAAACTATTGGTTTATAAAATAAATTTATTCATTAATACAAATATTGTCACTGTCTCAAGATCTGTTTTCCAGAACACACCATCTTTTTTAAGTTGTCTGAAATTCAGCACTTTTTAAAATTCTGTATGAAGCTGTCCCTGGAAAATTTTCACCAAAGCTGGCATGCATCCGTTTACCTACCATGAGGAGAGTTGATTTGTTTACTGGCCCTAAAAGTTATCTGCACAAAGAAACCACTTACTGAATTGCTTTTAAAAATTATTGCTAAAACTCTTGTTTAAAATGACATCCAAATACTTGCAAACATGTGGTCATATCCCCAGGAATAATGACTAAAACTATGTTACATTTCTTTGCCTTTTTTAAATAGACTACATCAGGTGCCCATAAGAACCTAAAAACAGCATTGAGGGAGATCATTTTAATTTAGTGCTTTGTGGTTCAAAATAAGGTAATTAAGAGAATACCATAGTTATAGCAAAAACCCTATAGACTTGAATATGAGGCCATTCTCTTTGTCAAAGTGTCATTTGGTGGTGGCTCATATTTGATACAGCTTGCTTATAAACCTATTTTCTATGACATAAGCATATATTTCTGCAACATATCTATTTGCATCTCTTTTATATTCAGATCACCAAGAGGCAAAATTCTGGAATATATATTGATACTACAAATATATGAATATGATTCAGTTATGAAATATAAAAAAGATGGGCAGTATAAAATAACTAATTTACAAAATTTAGAATTAGTAAAGCATACATGGATAGGAGTATTGCATATTTCTTTAGAAAAAAATGTAATCCTGCCTTGAAATTAATTTCAGACAAAAATTCTAATTTGTAATTCAAGTTCAACTAGGTTTAATATCAGAAATGTAATATTTACCTTTTCTTTTAAGAGGACCAAGAACACTGGGCCTAATGCACTTGACTGGACTCTGACTCCTCCTGCTTCAAAGAACAAATAAGCACAACGGCAAGAAGTACTTCTAAGATGCAAGATTAACACCACAGCCCACCAAATACGTCAATAAAATTAATATTCATATAGGGAAAATAGAAAATGCATGTGTTGTAGGTTGAGTAAATGAAATGTCAATACATGATCTGACCTGTCATATGGCAACAGGAAAGAACATGGTGTTTTAAGCTGTTTTAATCGTTCTATAACACAAAATATCAACCACAGTTTTTTTTAAAAAAATAGAAACCTTATTAAAAAGATATTTGTGTCTGGCCAGTGTAGCTCAATGGATTGAGCATCATCCCATGGACTGAGATGTCCCGGTTCGACTCCTGGTCAGGGCACATTCTGGGGTTGTGGGGTCAATTCCCAGTAGGGGGCGTGCAGGAGGCAACTGATTGATGTTTCTCTCTCATATCAATGTTTCTATCTCTCTCTCCCTTCCTTTCTCTCTAAAAAAATGAAAATCAATAAAAACATATTTTTAAAAAGTTATGTGTGCCCTGGCCAAGTGTTTCAGTTGATTAGAGCACTGTTGTGTATACCAAAAGGTTTCGGGTTTGATCCCCAGTTGGGGTGTGTATGGGAGGCAACTGATCAATGTTTCTCGCCCTCTCTCTAAAAATCAATACTAAAAACATATCCTTAGATAAGGATTAAAAAAAATTGTTTGGATTTGACTAGTCTACAAGCTTAAACTTCTTACATATAAAAAACATACTATCACGTGTGCACATGTGTGTCCTCTAAATATAAACTGGCCCTAAGTCTCAAAAAATGAATGTGGTAAAACGTTAATGGTAGAATAGAGGTGATAGGTAGATGAATGTTCTCTTATGCAATTCTTTCGATTCTGCTTTCTGTTTGAAATTTTCCATAATAAAATGTCAGGGAAAAAAGGTCATCAGAGAAACAATTTTAATAAGTAGCATTTCACCCACATTTAAAAAGCAGGTTTACCTACCTGGAAAAATGTCTCGGACTAGGAATGGGACTTGGTGGTAGCCCACTGCTGCTCACAAACATTTGTAAGGATGGTGAAAAACATTGCTAGAAAAATATATTTTGTATTAAAATAATTAGCTCTAATGCTCCAGTTTTCAAAAGATTCTTCTCAAAACGACAGAAACAACATCCTTAGAATTGTTAGTTGTCTATCTCTCTCATATATACATATATTTATGAATGAGAATACACACACACACACACATATACATATATACTTCTTTTCCCAAATTACTATCATAGGCTTTCAACAGATTTTTCTTCCAGCAATTGGATTCTCTAAGAGTGAGGTGATTTCATATCTGTCTGTCTCTGTCACATGTTTCTGTGCTTTCATTTGTTTCCATCTCCTTTCCCTGAGTCTCTATCATCCCCTTATGTTTCTGTCCCTCTTGTCTCTGTCTTCCTGTCTTTATATCTGCCTCTCTCCCCTGGGGCTCCATCTTGCCTTCTATGCCCACATTTTCCTGTCTCGTTCTCCCTCTTTTTTGCTCATTGTTTCTTCTGTGTTTCCATCTATATCTCTGTCTCTCTCTCTTTTTTTAAGTTTCTTTTTATTTATTTTTATCTTTATTGTTGAAAGTATTACAGATGTCTTCCTCCCACCCTTTGTATCTCTGTCTTTTTCCATGTCTCCATCTCCCCCTCTGTGTCTCCATCACTCAGCCCCTGTGTCTCTTTACTCTTCTCCCTGCCCACCTCTCCACCACCAGCCTGCTTAGGCTTTGGGGTCTAGATGGTGGGATGTTCATGCTGCATTGCCTGCAAGCACAGGACCATGGCTGCTTCTGAGACTTCTCACAACCCCTGACCCCTGGGCCTGCCTGGCAGTAGTCAGTCATCTGCCTGACCTGCTAAGGATTCCCACTCACCCCTATGGAGCTCTTAGCAATCAGGTATTGGAACAAACTCCTCTCTGGTGCAGACAGTGTGCCACCACTGAGTAGAGATTCCCTGCCACCAAGGGCTTGGTGGGGACATCCCCTGCTTTCCTCAGGAACCTTGGAAAGTAGATAATGAGGCACTTCTGTCTGATCATTTCTATTTTCTTCCCAAGGGGATGTCCTTCTTGACATATATCTGAAAGCCCTCTTGCTGCGGCTTCATCTGCCCTCAATATCTGTGACCCAGATTCTTCCTAGAGCAAAGCCTCCACCAGTAGCATCCAGCTAGTAGAGATTGCTGGGCACACTGCCCACCAGGAAAGGCACAGAGGAGGTGACCCCTGGGGGATGGGCACTGACCACAGCCATATGTGGGGTGAGGGAGAAGAGGTTGAGGTTCAGGCTTGGGGATCTGGGGTAGAGGGAGGTTAGGGGTTACCACCACCTGGATCCTGGCAGCAGAAAGAAAAAGTGAGGTTGTGTGTGTGTGTGTGTGTGTGTGTGTGTGTGTGTGTTTTAGAGAGTAAAAAGTTCAGTATATGAAAGAGAGTTAATATCTTGTCCATGAGCCTACCTTTCCAAATCCTCTGGTGGGTGATGGTGCTGGAGAAACTGGTGTGAAGTCAATCCTTTTAGGAGAGTATAATTTCTTTGGCTTGTCGAAATCACTATCACTCTGCAAATATAGTGTTATTTCATCATAATTCACAATTCAGCATATCACAACTCTTCTTTACTACTCAAACGTGCCTATATTTTAAGAGTACAAATGTATAGACTCCAAAATGTTGCAATATACTAACTCTGGTGGAAAATAAGAGATAAAAATAAATACATGTTTGGAAGTAGAAGGGACAGAAATGTATAAAAATATTAAAAAAGCCAATGAACACTACAAAGGTTTCTATAAATTTAAAAAAAAAAAAAGCAAATGTGAAAACTTTACCAGGCTCAAGTTTTCATCCCATGTTTGGCTTATCTGCATAGCCATTTGCACTTCTCTAAAACAAACAAAAATGAAAGGTCATCAGTGCTCAGAAACAAGACACGTACCAGGCTGTCCCCTACTCTTTTGAAGCACTAACCTTTCTGGGGAAGTTTCTCTGTTCATCACATCTACACCTTTCTCCTGCAAAGACAAATGTGTACTGAAACATAATATTTATCCACAAAGTTCTTTATTTCAAAGAAAAGAAAAAAGAGTTTTCTGCCTTATTTGACATAATCACAGTACAGCAGAAATGGCATTCTAAGACTGTCATACATAACACATCTCAACACACAGAGGAATTTTGATCTGTCTACAACTAAACTATATCAGTCTACTGCATTTTTCATATCTAAATGTTCAAAATGAAAATAAAACCAAACTGTAACATTCAGAAAATTGTAGATCTGAGCTAGAAATTAAAATTTACCCTTTTGATTTGATGCAGTCTGCTATTAGAAATCCAGTTAGGTGAGGATGACAGCAATTGGCAAGAAAAAGTAAACATTTACTATTTTCTGAATCACAAAGCAGCAATCTGCTGTCAGTAGCAGTGTATGACCTCTTCATAATTTTTCATATTCTTCTTCGAAAACTAGCTCTTTAAATTACTAAACGTTGATGCACTAGAAGCAATACATTCAGTCTTTAGAAAGTACACCAAGTGTCCAACCTCAAGGAACTATATGTTGTTAGACAGGAACTGCCTTTAACACTTTTCCATAATGAATGCAGAGCTGCGTACATTTATGTAAAAAAAAGAGAAAAACAAACAAACAAACAAACAAAAACCTCTAGGCCTTGGAAATACCCATTACCATACTAATTTAAAATAAGGAACCATACAAGAAGGGAAAGAAAAAACTAATTTTACTCATTTTTATTACCAATTCATCAATGGACAAAGACAGACTAAGAAGCCCAATATAATATTGTATCTATGGTTTATGTTTATTTAAAACTGCAATAAGTTTACAATACTAAGATCTGGAAACAGCCCAAATGTCCATCAGTAGATGAATGGATAAAAAAACTGTGGTACATATACACAATGGAGTACTATGCAGCTGTAAGAAAGAAAGATCTCTTATCCTTTGACATGACATGGAGGGACCTGGAAAGTGTCATCCCAAGCGAAACAAGCCAAACAGAGAAAGACAAGTTTCATATGATCTCACTTATTTGTGGAATATAATGAACATAACAGTCTGAGAAATGGGGTAGTCCCAGAGACGTGGAAGTGGGGTACTGACAATCCCCAGAAGAGGGGGTGGGGGGAGATAAACCACAGAACTTATATGCATGTATGCATGAACAATGGACACGGACAATAAAGCTGGGGACAGGATGGGGAGGGAGGGGGAGGGGGAATCAGTGGGGGGGGAGGAGAAACATCTGTAACAAAAATAAATTAATTAATTAAATAAAAAATAAATATAAAACTTTAGTAAGATTTTGTTTTCATGACCTAAATCAATTCTAAAATTTGGTCACTAATACTATCATCACAAACCTTAGTAGTTAAGAAAAATCATGGAAGGCAAGATGTATTTTTAAAATAACTGTTGCTTTCCCTTAGACCACCATTTTTTAATAACACAAAGCTGAAATGATTTAGGGGGCTAAATTATGTTCCTTCAAAATAATCACAAACTGATCATAAAATGTAAGATAAAATTCATATCAATGGATCTTACAGGGTTCTGATAGCCACAGTATAAATAACTACTATTTATCCCCTGATGAAATTATAATACTATAAAACCGAATAAGACAGTTGTCCTATTACAATAGTCACTATCCTATTAAAACTTCTTTGAATACTAATGGAGTATGTAGTATAAAATGGTGATAAACCGTTTTAAGTTATTTAGGCAAATGACAATTCAGGTAAAATTTTTTTTATCCTCACCTGAGGACATTTTTTGTTCTGATAGAGTGGGAGGGAGAGAGAAGAGAAAGAGAGAGAGAGAAACATTGATGTGAAAGGGACACATCGAGTGGCTGCCACTTGTACAACCCAACCAGGGCTGGGGACAAACTGCAACTGAGGTATGCGCCTTTAGCGGGAACTGAACCCAGGTCTCTCCGAACCACAGGCCAACACTCTAACTGCTGAGCCAAACTGGCCATGGCTCAGGTGAAATTTTTTTAAGTTATTCACTCAAATATGATTTTACTTCAAAAGATATTACTTCATTACCCACCCCTTTCTTTGACTTTTTCCTTTCCTAGGCTTTGCAAAGAAAAAAAAAAACTTTATTAGTAAAATCCTTTTAAAATGTACTTTTTTTCTATTATGCAAGCAATACATGTTTACTGGTCAACTCTTAGTAAGGTCATTTGAAAAACACTAAGCTACTAGGCAAGTAAATAAGGCAAGAAAGACTCTAACAGGATAATATAAAGGAGAGCATAGATGTGTCTGTCACACAACAAAAGAAACCCAAAGGCAGTGAAATAATCAGGAAAGCCAAAATAAGATTGCCAAACCTACTTGTGGAGAAAGTTAGAAATTTAGATGCTGCATTTACATGGTGTACAACTTGTCAATTTTAGACAGAACTGGGAAGCTGATGCGAAAGTGGGACAGAGGAGTAAAGCCATATCTAGTCCCAGAAACAAGAGTAAGGTACAGGCTGAGAAAAAAGCCAAGAACTTCAAGGAGGTGCAGGTTAATGATATTAAGTAAAGAGCTCAAGTGTGATAAGAAAAGAAGTCCCTGACTTTGGCAATCAAATGGGTATTGGTGACTTTTGCAAGAACAGGTTGTGGTAAGAATGATGAGATTGCAAACTGTCTGAATAGTTAACAAGGAATTAGAGGCAGTGGAGTGTAGATTAAGTTTTGAAAAAGCTCCTGGAGTATGGGGAAGGGAAGGAGAGACCCATGAAACAAAGAACAGTTTGTTTTCCAGATATTAGAGGTGTAAGTTGGGAGAAGGTGGAAGAAAGGAGCCAGTGAGGAACAGACTGAAGACACAAAATAGAGAGAAGATGACAGACCAAGCAAAGTGACAGGAGAGTCAAAAAATATATGAAACTCTAGGAGAAAGCACCACATGTGAAAATAAAAATGTTTTAAGGAGAATAGAGCTGACATAAATACAAGATAGGTCTCTGCCTTTTCTGTGAAGTGAGAAGGGTTATCTACTGAACGTGAAAGGTAGTGAGATAGGAAGCTTGCAGAGTGAAAAGAAAAAAGAAAAGAAAAGAAAAGAAAAGAAGAGAAGAGAAGAGAAGAGAAGAGAAGAGAAGAGAAGAGAAGAGAAGAGAAAAGAAAAGAAAAGAAAAGAAAAGAAAAGAAAAGAAAAGAAAAGAAAAGAAAAGAAAAGAAAAGAAAAGAAAAGGATTTAGAATATTGCTTTGGAAAAGAGCATGGGGCCAGTGGCATCTTGAACCCAACATGCCAAGAAGTAATTTATCTTCTGTCCAATTGTTCTCATTTTCCCATCTTAAAATAAAGGCAACACTTTTCCCTTTGTCACCAAGAAATAAAATTGCAGTCACTTTGAGTCCTCCTTCTCTCTGTCGTTTTATCTAATAAGCTATCAAATCATGAAGATCTTACTTCTCCATGTCTCCTTCATTGGTCCTCTTCTTTTACTTTCATTCAATACCGTACTTTTTGCAGGCCCATAGGTAAGGGTATTAAGATTTATAGAGTACATTGTGATATACTGTATATGGTAGGATTAATATTATGATATAAGTACCCAAATGGTGCTGTGGAATCCTTCCCACACCAGATAGCTAGAAAGGAGAAGAGGAAGGGGTGAAAGGTATTATAAGGATTAACAAAGAGCAATGAATCAATAAAATCCCTTCAGCAAACTAGATATTTTAGTGTAGCCAGAGCCTAGAGTGGTAGGTATCTGTCAGAAAGCAGTGAAAACTGAGCCTAGACAGAGTTGGTAAGAATATTCATATCATAGCAAATAGAAAAGTGAAGTGTAGAGAGACAAATTCATTTTCCCTTCTTTGCTATATTACTGATGCAGAAATATTTTTCATATATACAGCAAAAAATAAGTACTTATATTTTCCAGTATCCTCAGGGAAGGAGGTGAAATGAATTAAACCTCCAGATAGCTAACATTTCCCCTTTAAGTATTTTTAGCCACTTCAGCTGAAAATCTTTCTTATAAGTGTGATATTTTCCCCCTTGTTAAACAGATTATACCAAATAGAATGGCACAGAAAAATCTATTCTAATCCCAGATCTTCCACTTACTAATTGTGTGATTCTGAGCAAGTCACTTATATCAGCTGAGTCTTAGCTGCTGCTTCTTTTAATTGGAAAAACATCTTCTGCCCTGCCTACTTCAATGGGGATACTATGAGATTAAATGTGTGAAAGTACTTTGTAACATGTAAAATATCATACAAGAATAGGTATTATTATAATTTAAGAAAAGGTGGAAGACCCAGGTATCCTTAAGAATATATTATCTTACGGTTCTATGACATTAGCACTTCAAGGTCCATTCACAGACTCTTAGCCCTTATACTCAGCCACAGATATTTTTTTTTAGAAAGTCTCTGTTTTTTAGTTTTCCCTTCTCTTCCTTTGCTAGCAGCTGTCAGTATACCTTTAACTCAAATGTACCTCTTCTGATTTGCTGCTTCTCACACACTACTGGATTAGAAGCTTCTTATAATTGTGCCTAAATTTTAGATGATTCAGAGGTCAGAGAGGCTCTCATATAAATAAACTGATGAACATTTGTGAACAGACTATGGAAATCTAGTCCAGCCATTTAGAATTTGGTTTGCGTACATCTCCGATATATTCCAGAGCAATGCAGCTACAGCATAAGTGGGTTCCACATGTGAAGTGTTGCTATATAAAAACCTCATCATAATTTCTCCCAACACAACCAACTAATAAGGTGATCCTTGACAGCTCTGGCTATATAGAACAGTCAGGATTAGCAACTCTACTGAGAATACAAATACAAGCATTTGAAAGGAGTCTTTCTTTGGATAAACAGCACTGATCAACAGAAATAAACACTCTACCACCAGTTATTTGACTTTTGTACTGTAGGACAAATTAAGACCACTGCTCTCAGTTACAATTAGAAGTTAATCCTGACTTACCTTACAACCATGATGCAAGTACTGGCACAAAACAAAGAACAATGTTTAAAAATACAAAGTTCTACAGCCAAGAAATATTTTAACAAGGTTTTCTCTTTTGCACTGAAAGCGGAAATTGACCATAGCATTAAGTAGCAAACAAGATAGATAAATTAAGTTTTCTTTTGTAAACAATTGTGCATTTGAAAATGTTTTCCCCAATGGAAACCACTAAGGATACTTACTTCTATACTCACCAGGCTGTGATAGCTCATAATCGTTGCACTATTTCTCCGAGTTCTAAATGCATAAGGATGAAAAACCTGTGAAAGGTCACTAAAAATAAAAATAAAATTATTAATGTCTTCTCATTTAAGATATCCTTCAACTACATTAATGCCAATTCTCTAGTTAACAATGAAATATTTGATGGCTTCTCATATCAAACAATGGATAAACTCCTCACTGTCCTCTTCAGAGCTTCCTGAGTGGTGTGCTGTAGATTAGAGATTGGTGGAGATACTGATCTCCTCAATGGTTGGGGGACAGCTAGGAGAGGTATGGGGTGGAACTCCAGCTGCTTCTGCTCAGGACTTACCACCCCCCTCCAAACTGGTTACCACCAGATTCAAACTGGCAGCCTCATCTGTTTATTCCAGAGGATCTACAATCAGTACTGTGTATGCCATGATATGACAAGGACTGGGGAGCCATGTTCTACAATGTGAGCCCAATCAGCATCTCCCTCTATTGTCCTAAACACATGTTCTATTTTTGAATACCAGTGTCCAAATAAATAAGTGTATCTGGAGTTTTGCTCATGTTGCCTCTTCTGAGTCAAATGCCCTCCTTCCAAACACCATCTGTCAAAATTCTTCCTTTCCTTGCCCTGGTTGGTTTGGTTCAGCGGTTAGAGCGTCGACCTGCGGTCCAGAGAGACCGGGTTTAGTTTCACTAAAGGCATGTACCATGGTTGCAGTTTGTCTCCGGCCCTGGTTGGGTCATGTGAGTGGCAACCACTCGAGGTGTCCCTTTCACATCGATGTTTCTCTCTCTCTCTCTCTTACTCCCACTCTATTTGAACAAAAAAATGGAAAAATGTCCTTGGGTGAAGATAAAAAAAATTCTTCCTTTCCTTCAACACCCATCTCAAATGCCATGCCCTCCATGAAGTCTTTTCATTCCATAAACCTAATGAAATCTTTCCCTCCTCTGAACCCAAAGAGCACAATGGAAAATTAGATGCTTCCTGAGATACCAACTTTACCTTTTTTTCCTTTATTGATTTTTAGAGATAGAAGGAGAGAGAGAGAGAGGAGATAGAAACATTGACGAGAGAGAACATCCACTGGCCGCCTGCTGCATTCCCTCCACTGGGGATTTGGCCCACAACCTGGGCATGTGCCCTGATCCGGAATCGAACCGGCAACCTCTTGGTGCATGGGTCAACGCTCAACCACTGAGCCATACCAGTCGAGCCCAACTTTACCTTTTATAAGTTAAAACTATGTATGTGTTTAAGACCCCTTGGTGGAGGTGTTTTGTTCTTCTTTGTACAATATCCCGCAATGCCCAGCAGAGTGTCATGCCCATGTTAAGAGCTCAAGAAGGATTATTGGAATTGAGGATATAGGTATCACCTAATCCAACTCTCTTACATTTTACGTGAGAAAACAGATTCAAAAGGGCTAAATGTCTCATTCATAATCATAGCCAATCAGGGATAAAATTGGGACTGGCCCTGGTCTCCTCACCCTTCTTCTGTCATCATGCTACCTTTCAAGTAATTACTTAAATAGTGATTCAAAAACAGTATGTTATTTCTACAGTAGTCTAAATTCAAGTCAACAGGATTACCCTAGTCCCTAGCAATTGCTTGCCTACTAGATTTTAAAAGACAACCAAAAAAGACCATTTATTCCTACAGTATCAAAAATAAATGTAGAACCAAAGTCAGCATTAGAAAAGGTTTACTCCATCATCTGCAGTTTTAACATTAAATAAAAGAAAAAAAGCAAACCTGTTTTTCCCCCAAATTAGGATATTATAACCAGTTTGATAAACATTAATCTTTGTCTTCCTTGTGCTTGATTAATATTTTTGGCTAACTCTACTCCTATCCCCCTTTTTGGACTAATTCCATTTCTACAGGGTCTTGCAAATTGGCTCTCTACCTAAGATAAATTGTCTACTTATAAAGTGAAATGTAGTAGACTCAGGAGGTCTGCCAACCTAATCTTCATTATCACAATATTCTACCTTAAAATAGACTCTCTGATGACTTATTCCCATGAAAACACAAGACCCTACTACTAAAATTCAAGGGTGGACTCTATATTGTTTTCTAAAACCTGTGTTTTCTCTGACCTAAGCTACATGCTATCCTTCATTTTTATTCACTAGAATGCATTTCAGGCAGTTTTAGGATCTGAAAACATTATGACAAATCTGAATCACTTAATATGGCATGAGCACACCATTTAATTTCAAGTTACTAAATAAACTGTGATTTATTGAAGTAAACCACTGTTAATACCAGGGTTCCTAAACTAGGCTTAGAAATAGCAGGTCTTAGAGACAGGTGTCAGATTGCAAGTCTAGTTCCAGGGGTTTCTTTCTGTCTGACATTCAATGCTGTACATTAGGCAAGGCAGGCAACCTGTTAGAAGAGCCAGAAGCTTTTTGTCATTACTTTTAGAGTGAGCTAACAGAGTCTCAGGTAGAGAGGGCTCCTTTGTCCCCACTGCGCAGAGCCTGGGGTCAAACTTGCACTTCACCATGAGACACTGTCAAGCAGACAAGTCATCATCCCCTCAAGTTTGGAGAGTGCAGAGCTCCAACTCTCACTTTAGGGAAGACTGCTTGCAGGGGCTTGAGGAGCCCCTGAACCCTGTAGTCCATCCTTCCCATCCCTGCTCACCTGAGCCCATGGATCAGGGGAGCGCTGTTGGATCTCCTCAGGCTGCCCCCATTAGATGTATCAGGCTCACAGTCCAGCTCCATTTTCTCCTGAGCCATGTTGGAGACTTGCAGGCAGGCACAGCAACAGTGCTCAGCTCTTGGTGCTTAGGTATAGTCTCCCAATATACTCAAGGCAGGACTGAGTGGCCAGGGACTGGCAGCTGGGGGCGGGGGCTAAGGGGCGGAGGCTTGGGGGCGGGGCTAAAAGGCAGAGAATCGCCGGAAAGGAGGGTGAGGATGAGGAGGGGTTATATTGAAGGAGGGCAGGATAATGGAGAGGTTGTAATAGAGAAAAGGATGGAAGAAAGAGAGGGATGGAAAGAGGATGGAAGTGAGGAAGGGGAAAGGATAGATGGAAAAGCAGTAAAACAGTGTAAAAGGTGGAGGGCAGAAGGGAGAATATGGAAAAATAGGGGGAAAGGAGGAGGGCAAGGAGGAAAGAGACGCGGGAGGGGGGAGAAGAAGGATAGACTGTGAAGAAGAGGAAGGAGAGGAAACAGGACAGGGGAAGAAGAAAAGGAGGCAGCGGCAAAACCCCTGCTATCTTGTGGCCAACAACCTCTAGCGAGGCCTAGCTACAGACACACAGCTGGCCAGGCAGCGCTATCGCTGAGGAACTGACAGTTGAGCAGGACCCAGCCGGGCGCCCTGGGAGGCTCCAGCTCCCCATGCTTAGGGGCGGGGTCCAGCACCCATCCTCCAGGACCTGGTCTCACACCCTCCTCAGCTCTGTTATCCGTACTTCTCCCCTCCTTCCCCCCTCCCACCTGGAGGACAGGTGGGAGGTTCGGTTCGCCCCCTTAGCCACCACTCCGGTGCCTTATCTTCCTTTCTTGGTTTCTAATGGCCCGGGGGAACCCCTTCCAGCCAAGACCAAAATCTACAGCCTGCCCTCTCTTGCTCCTCCCACGCTGCTGAAGCGGAAAACGCCGCAAAGCCAGATATTCCGTGTTGGGGCACCCATTGGGTCCTATGCATGTGCCCAGCAGCCTCAGCAATTGTCCTGGGGGCACGAAGCATGCGTGGGAGTCCTGCCCCGAAAGCCTCCTCCAAAGGAAAGAAGCGTTTCCTGGGGTCCTGGCGTTTTCCTAGATGGAATTGGCCGGGGAACCTGGCTCCCGATTTTGAATAGAACCAATAGCTTAGAGACAGTGGAGCATAGTGTTTCAGAAGTTTGAGCCAATATTCAAGGAAAACAGAAACAAGCGGCTTCCGCTAAATGTCATTACCAATTTGTGTGCTCTGATTTCTGTGATCCCCACTCATTTTTTTAACCCTTCGATTTTGTTGGTCTTTGTCAGGAGAGGCCTGTTTTTCCCCCGATGATCTATTTGGGTGCACTAGAGTAAAGGAAAGTGAAGAAGAAGTAAAAAAGCAATGGTGTAAAAACAAAGAGTCTAATGAGTGTTCATACTAAGAAGCACTTCATCTCCACTTTACAAGTGCTGTTTACTTCATAGATATTACGAAAAATCCTGAAGAATAAGTTTTTCTTTCTAAGATTTATTGAAACCCTAATCATCATGATTCAACATGTGTGAGACCTGGAATTATTTTATTTAACAAACATCTAGATAGCAGTTACTGTGTGCTAGGCACTATTTTAAGAGCTTTAGAAATATTAAATCATTTAATCCTCACCAATGGAACGACCCTGAGAGAAATATGATGATTGTATTGTGTTAATTATAAATATATAGAAAGTTCAAGAAATTTAATAATTATAAAGTTGGTTTCAAAATTTAGCAAAATTATTTTTACCTGGCCTTTAATTCAGTAGTTTCATATTAAACTTGCCAAGCCCAGTCATCATATTATTTCTCAATGTTTATGTTTTCTACTTGTAATATGAGAGTTTTTAAAAGTACTTTTGGAAAGTTTCCTTTAATTTTGCCTATATTCTCCTGCCAGCTAGATTAGAAATGCAAACTCTGTTTTTGATCAATGTGTGTACCTCTTTATCTCATGGTCTTAGCAAACCCCCCACCCAATTTGTTAGAAAAAATTATAGTACATTCTACTGTTCACAATAGCAACTATACAATCATTTGTTGACCACATGCACAGTCCCTACCTCTGAGGAGTCAAACAATTCAGTAGAATCCCTAATTTTCAGGAGCTTAACATTAGGAGAAACTGAAGGATATATTAGAAAATGGATACTACCTTGGCCATTATTACCAGGTTTTATTCATATCACTCTTGCCTACCTAGTTTCTTTTATTCTCCATATAAACTTTTGGGAGGTTTGGGGTGTTTGTGAATTGTGGGCTTGGGGTCAACTTGCTCTTGTGATTTAATATGTTGCTTAAAAGTTGCCATGACAACTGGTAAAATAAAGAGCTAATTATGACACGTTTGTGGGACATCTTTTACAAGAGACCTGGAGCAGATGGCAGCAGATTGGGCCATAAAAAGAGGAGCAGCATAAGTGTCAAGGTATATCTAAACAAACCAGGGATCTGAGATGATGTCATATTATTATGGAACACCAAGAACTGATCATAAAACACAGTAATAATATGTGGGTAGAAATGAGAAGTAGCAAAAATAATTTCTTTAAATGTATTTGCCACTATAATAGTATACAGAATTATTTGTTTTTGTAGTACTTGTTCCTTTTGACATTCCAACTTGTGTATGTATTATGAATTCCATCTATATCTTTACAGGTTTTTGTTTCCTCACATGTAGCTGCACTATAAAGAGAATTTCTCCTGTTTGGTAATAGTTGGAACTTATTGCCATCTCATGTACTTAGTCATTTCATATTACTACCCCCTTTCCAGAAACAGTCTCTTAGTTGCTCTTTCTTGTTTTATTATACCTATTTTTTTAGTGTTATGGTATTTATATTTTTTAAATTAGATATCTATAATGCTTAAGCATGATGAGATTTTGTCTAGTCATTCAAAATATATCCATTAATAATTCTTACCTGCCAAGAATATTAACAAACTCTTTAAAAAGTATAATGAGCAGCAAAGTGGAGGTAAGACCTTCTTGTTCTCTGATGTACTCCATATTTTCCTGCTAATTAGACTGTTTTTGATCCTCTGTTCTGTATATAACTATTGCCTCCTGCATACATTCTGACTTTACTCACATTTAGCTGTCATGTTTTATAAACTTTCCAAGTATCCTGGGAATCTTAACATTGGCTTTCAGGAGATCTTGGTACTAGCTGAGATTCTACTGCTACATAATTATGTGACATTAATCTCTCTGGGATTTTATCAACTGTAAAATAGAAATGATTTACCTACTTCATAAGATAGCTGTGAAGGACACATTATTTGCACCTTCATTTATTCATGAAATAATTTAATAAGTGGCAACCAAGTGCTTATGAGTACAGAAACAGTGGCCAGAGAAATATCAAGAATCACTTTGTCTGTCTTTTAGCTTAAACAGAAAGGCTTTTTCCACTTAGTAGTTGTAATTTGAGTAACTACTCTGGGCTTTGGTGTCTTCCTTGAAAAATTGGTATTGTGATGGTATCTATCTTGAGTTATTGTAAGTCTTAAATGCAATCACATATTTAAAGTGCTTAGGAGAGACAGTACCTGGGACAGAGTAAGTGCTCAAAAAATGGTAGCTATTGTTAATCTGTCTTACATCAAGACTGATGATTCCAAATTGTCCTCGTATCTGGGATTTAGGTAACCTAATCTTGCCTAATATAATTAAGCTTTCCTTATTCTATTCTATTCTCTGAATGAATGAAAAATTATTATAATCTTTCATGTCATAACTTGCCTTGAACTCTTCAAAATAATCTCATTATTTTAAGTTCACCACTGTAATCAGTTGAGCAGGGTTAATTATTGAACCGATTGACACAGTATGTGAAATCATTTTTTAAACTTTAAAGTACTATATCATGTTATGACTATTTTAATAATTCTGATGCCACTAGTTGCACTTGTCTTCTCTGCCAGTTCTCTTTGATTCTTAAAATTAGTGGTTTTATAAAATTGTTAGCATGGAGTTAAGATTTCAGTACTCAAAATGTAAAAAAAAAACAAACAAAAAAAAAACAGTTCTTAAAATATTTTAAGCATTGTTAAATGGAAACACTGATTTGGATGGATACTAAATTGTGAGATATTTAAGAAAATAAGCCTCCTGCTTTAACTCTAATATTTTTCTTAGATGAATAGCTTTAAAGAGCTAGATTTTATACACTGTATGATGATAGTAAAAAAAATAATGATTTGTCTGCACAATTGATTCATTTGGGTTAGGGCTTTTTGTGAGTATGTGGCCTCTATGCACTTAAAAGTGGTTTTGTTTTTCTCCCCCAGGCTTCAACTTTTTAAAAATTACAAAGATGCAGTGTGTTTGCTGTAACAAGGTGGGAAAATTAGTCATGGGAGATTACAAGGTTGTTAGCCTCAATCATAAGGGATTAATGGGTTAACCAAAACTGAGAAAATTATCAGACATAGGGCAGAAAGGATGGCTCTCCCATATGGGTGGGGAGCATACACCTACCCACCCATTCTTTCCTAAATAATGGTTAACAAAATGATTCCAAGTTAACATAGGAGTAGAGTAATGGCCACTGTGAATCTGCACTAGAAAAAGAAAAAGAAAAAGAAAAGGAAAAAGAAAAAGGAAAAGGAGGACCGAGCTTGGCAAAAAATGGCAGCTCCATGAAGTAATCAAAGTCATGAAAAACAAGAATCTGAATCCAAGACTACTCTACCCAGCAAGGCTATCATTCAAAATAGAAGATCAAATAAAGAGCTTCCCAGACAAAAAAAAGGCAAAGGGAATACATTAGCACCAAACCAGCACTGCAAGAAATGTTAAAAGGACTGCTGTAATTAGCAGTAGAAATGGGAAGAAAAATAGAACCACACTAAACAAAAATGGCAATAAATAAGTAAATATCAATAATCACCTTAAACGTAAATGGATTGAATGCTCCCATAAAGAGACACAGAGTAGCTGATTGGATAAGAAAGCATGACTCATCTATATGTCGTTTACAAGAGACCCACCTCTCAACAAAAGACTCACATAGGTTGAAAGTGAAGGGATGGAAAAAA